CCTTCAAAACTTTATTAATATTTTTCGAAATTAGCCCGTCAAATCATTAGAACTGTTTATTACATCTCCATGTCTTATACAACTGTTCTTCTGGAAAAAAAAAATACACCTTACGAAAATTAGAGGAACTAATAACATTTTTCCATGACTCGAGTGGCTAATTTTGAGATCACCGACGGGAGTCGGAGTTCCCACCGAATTTTAAAGATTTGTTAAGGACTAATATGGAAGAAAACCCATTTTTAAATTATTACGATCTCCTCATAATCTCTCGCGTTCCCCTCCCTCGATTATCGCCTTCCCTCTCTCCTCTCCCCTCTCTTCCCCAAAATCCCCCCAAAAACACAAAACAAACAATTTCCGCGAAAATTAAAGAAAAATAAAAATTGAAGAAAAAAAAAAAAATTCCGTTCTCGTCGTCACCATCATCTACATTTTTTTCGGACGAATGTTTAAATGGTGAGGAGTCATCACCGACATTGTTCTCTGATCTAGATTCTTGCTCGCCGTGTCGCCTCCGCGATCGAGATGCGGGGGTGGGCCCCCCAAATTCTCCTCCTCCTCCTCCTCATCGCAATGGGCCTCATCTCGGCCCAAGCCCAAGATGACGATGATGGCGCATCGTCGCTCGAGAGCTACTACAGCCAAACGCTCTTCGCTCGGATCATGAACCTCACCGACCATTTTCGGCCTCAGATCAAGGACAAGCTCGGTTACTGCATCCAAGACCCGTAATCACTGTTACAGATTCCTAATTTTAATCTTTAACTGTTTGTTTATTTATTCTTTTCTTTTTTTTTTTGGAGTTTTGATGAACTTTTCTACTTCTTGGTTTTGGTTTTAGGAACCAGGAGATTGATGCTGCCTTTAATTTCTCAAAGGATCCAACTTTTCTAACTAACTGTCTCAGGACGACGAGTAAGACTCAACCTCACCTTCTTTTCATCAATAATGTTGTCTTTATTAAGTTCAAATTTAAAGCATGGAGTGCATTTTAAGACTACTACTTTCTACTATTGTGAAATTCGCAAGTTTTCAGTGCAATTCTGACTGTGGTATACGTGGTTCAAAAAGCAGAAGGAAAAGAGAAAAGATGAAAGAAAAGGAAAATTGAAATTTTGGGATGGGCTAGCGGAAAGACGAGAAGGCGATAGACATTTGGAGCAAGTTGTTCTGAGTTATTTTGGAGTGGTAGGATTGTAGTTGAAAATAGTAAACAGGACACTTAGCCTGCACGTCCGAGTAGAGAATTCATGCAACCCGCATAAATGCAACTAAGTAATGTCTCACTTGCTGTTATTATTGTATATACTTTGATTTATTTGCTCTTGAAAACTATTGATTTTTAGAGAGAGTTCATAGTGTAACACCATTACCGAGCAAGGGTTTGGAATTTAGATGATTAATGAAGTATTCTTTATGTAGATGGACACATTTATAGAATGTCTTATAGAAATATTTAATCTAGAATTTGCACAATCACACTGACCTAACAACAACGATATGCAGATTGCAATTTCTGGGTGTTGAATAGAAGTCTAGAAAGGAAGCGAGCACACCGAAGCCCTAATGGGGGTGGAGAGTTGAAAGAAGAAGCCCATTTCATTTTTATTCTGATTTCTACTGAGAGTTTAAAGGGTCATCAATTAATATTCACGAATCTATGAGCTTATTAAAGTCTCTCGTTCTGTTGCTGTAGTAATTCATTTGTTATTGAAAATTTCAGATTTCTAGAGATAGTTCATTGGGCTGAGCTTTGGATAAATAGTAAAGTCAGCAAGTAAAACTGAGTATGAATTGAGAATATGGATTTCTTTGCTACAGTTAACGAGTTATCCTTTAGGCAGATAAGCATATTTTTAGAATGTCTTATAGAAAGACCTTGTCTACAATTGCATGACCACATTAACCTAAGGACTAGGAAATACAGTTGCCAATTGTTGAAGAGTAGTTTAAAAAGGATGCAGACGCATATGAAAGTCAAAATGGAGGTGGAAGAAATAAGAAAGCCTATTTTCGTTTTCATTCTTACTCATACGAAAAGCTTAAATGATCATCAATAAACATTCATGGATCTATGAGCCTATTAAGTCTCTTTGGTGTTATTTTTGTACATACACGAATATAATTTTACTGAAAATTACTGATTTTGATATAATTTACAAGGCAGACCATTGCACAAATAGTAAAATCAACATATAAAACTGAGGATGTACTGGGAATTTGGATTGACTTGCTGCAGTTAATGAGGTCTTTTATAAAGTACTTTATAGAAAGTTTTGATCTAGAATTTGCATGATCACATTAACCTAACATCTAGGAAAAACAGTTACTGAATGTTGAATAGAAGTTTAGAAGGTAAGTATATGCATACGAAAGTTCAAACAGAAGGAAATAAAAAAAAAGCCTATTTCATAGTTATTCTTTTCTCATTCTGTACTATTTTTGTTATGCATGTTAGTGAGCTAAAAAATTTCAGTGTTTTCAAGTAAGTTTCTGAACTTCCTTGGACTGAAGATGACCTTGCAATATGTGCTTTTCACCGTTCTAATTAAGAACTTAGATTAATCTTTAATTTTCTGATATGAATTGACAGAGGATCTTTCCAAACGTTTATGCACCGCAGCAGAATTCCTATTTTATGTCAACAGCTTTTTGCAAAACGAGGATAAAAAATTCTTAAAGCCTAATTCGAACTGTAATTTGACTTCATGGGTTTCTGGATGTGAGCCTGGATGGGCATGCAGTGTTGGCAAGAACATCAAAGTTAACCTCAAAGATGACAAGAACACACCCACGAGAATTGTTGACTGTGGTCCTTGCTGCGAGGGCTTCTTTTGCCCTCAGGGTCTTACTTGCATGATACGTAAGCATATTGCTGCCCTTGATCGCTCTTGATGATGATTCATTTACTTTTATGCTGGATCCCTTCTTATAAAGGAGTTTAATGTTTGTTTCTCGAGAAATATCACTGTATGCTAGTACTCTGAAACTGAATTGACTCCAATGCAAGTTGTATTCACTTTATTTGTCATGGTTCTTATCGATGATATACATAAATATTTGACATATATTTTATTACACATTAGCTATCCTGCTACATGTTTCCTGAATTGTTTTCTTGATGCATTAAGAGTTTGCCATTCTGTAGGAACTTATAATCTTTTTCTATTAATTGGCAGAGACCTCAATCTTTATTGTGGTTGAAAGATATCTAAATATTGTGTTACCCAGATTTTGCAATATATTATTACTAGTGTGCACCCGTGCAAAGCACGGCCCACTGTTTTTTTAGGCACCGCATTTTGAACTTGTCTCCCTCTAAGTTTTAATACATTTGATTTAATTATTGTATGCTTAAAATTAGAAATCATATCTACTCCTCTATACTTACAGATAAGTTTTAATACATTTGATTTAGGAATAATATCTACTCCTCTATACTTCAAATACGGAGGAGTAGATTTGATTTACTGTTTATGACACAGTAAATTACTGTATCATGAACAGTGGTCATATTTTGGTTTACTGTTCATACTCCAGTAATTTACTATAGCATGAACAGTGATCCTTCGGATCCTCCTTTAAGTATAGAGGAGTAAATTAGTACTTTGTAGAAGAATGTAATGTGTTAAGTCCATTTGAAAAGGTACAATGCAAATTTATCATATGTAACTTACTGTTACCATCATCTGTAGATACATCATGTAATGATAAATTACATTATTGCTTCTTAAATCATGAGAAATAGAGTACCAGAAATTCTAGTTTTGACCAAGCAATATACCACCTTGAACAAGTTGCAGAAAGGGAAACCGTAGGCTGGTGCACATGTAATCTACCAAAAGGGTATAATGACAAAGGGTCAGGCACAGGACATGCGTCGTAAAGATGATTTTTTTCTTTAAGTTTTAAGATTAAAAAAACAGGTTAGGGGTTGCCGAATGTAACAAAGGCTCTATTTATATCATAAAGTGAAATAGAAATTAACGACTTTGCTTTCACCCGCAATTTGCAACACCAATGTTGCAAGCATTAATAGTATTTTTTGCGAATACATGCAATAGATTACTTTTTTCAGTTGAAAGATGTACTTTCGAGTCTGATCTGATGGTTGATCAAGTATGTTTCTTTAAATATTTGAGCAAATATTGCTTCAGACATGAAAATGTATTTTTCCACATAGTATATTAGTCTTTACTTTTTAGACAACACAAGTACCTTTCCTATATGATTGATTTTTGTGAAGATGTTTCTAATTTTGTTTTTTTGCCCTCTTGAATGAAGCTTGTCCTCTTGGTGCATACTGCCCACTTGCGACTTTGAATAAAGATACTGGTACTTGTGATCCGTAAGTTGATTTTGTTCTTCCCAGTTTCATGGCGATATTTTTTATTATTTTCCTTAACACGCCTTATGAACTTGCTTGTAAACTCATGTAGATATGACTATCAGCTACCTCCAGGAGATGCAAATCACACTTGTGGTAGTGCAGATAGGTGGGCCGATGTTATAAGTAGCGGTGAAATATTTTGTCCTGCAGGATACTATTGTCCAAGCACCATTAAAAAAATTTCCTGCCAGAGAGGGTATTCCTTTTATCCTATCTATTCCTTTACATTTCTTGCAGTGTGTGCGTGTGCATGTGTGCGCATGCGCGTGAGTGCGTATGTGCATGCCTGAGTGTGCGAGCGTGCATGCATGTGTGTGTTTGTGTGTTATTTATAATAAAAGTTGGTAATGATGATGCAATCATAACAATATTTAGCATCATACTAGATATATATTCAGTCCTTTTCTTGGTCTACAATTATTTCTTATTAATTGATTTTCATTTATATCTTTCAGACATTATTGTAGGAGGGGTTCTACTTTTCAAAACAGTAAGTTCGAACTTTTACTTAATTGTTCTTTAACTCTTCTTTTTCGGAGAAACATGCAAGCCTATCAGCTGTGTTCTACTTGATCTGACCAAGCTAAAAACCTAAGTCTACTGTAGTGGTTTTAAATATACCTACAAATTTATGTAACCTTTATTCAATTCCAGTGTCATTCTATTACACTGCAAGTAGTTCTAGCAACATGCACAAACACTGATGCAGATACACAAAACACATTTGGGTTTGGATACACCTAGACTTTGCTCCTAAAATTAAGAAGTTCACCACAAACTGTTATATGCCCGGCATATTTTATTTACTATTTATTTCCTCTCCCAATAACATTTGACTAGCTCATAACCCCATGGCAAATAGGGGTGGGAAATGTGCTAACTTCAATGTTTGAAATCTTGGTACTGGTCAAGGCATGTTGCCACTATTGGTATCTAGAGGTTCAAGAGGCTCTGGTAGTTCCAAATTGGAATTATGATATATGGAATAAGTTAGTTGTCACAATATTTCTATGTTTTTCTCTCTAAATATAACTTTACTTAATCAACTTATGTTACTTCAAACCTCAAATCTTCTATTTTTAACAGTATTTATCAGCCAATACCAGCTTGTATTAGTTATCATTAGTCAACATATCAGTCACTTTCAGCTGAATTAGATTGACGTGTTTAGAACCAATATGATACAAACTAATACTTGGCTGTGTTGGCTGATACTTCATACCTTTGTTAACTCGTAGTGAAAGAGAAGTGTAGTCTAGTTTCATCCACATACATATGTATACCGGGAACTTGCAGCACAGGGGTTGCAACTTAATAGTTTAAATGCCTTGCTAGAAATTCATGACTATTCATGAGAATTGGTGATCCAAAGTATTCAATTTTCATTATGGTCCACATATCTACGATATCATTATCTAAGGCCTTTCCCATCAAAAGTGGTTGCATAAAAGGTCAAAAAAGTTTCATGACATTTAACAATTGTCTTTCTCGACTCGGACATGAAATTTATGAACAAGAGAGGAACCTGCCATAAATCTGAGAATGCAAACTGGTGAGAGCAAAATATGTTTCACTGGTCTTGCAGTTTATGCTTATGCAATAGAAGAGCACCCTCCAAATATATTCTAGATTAAGAAACTCTAGATGAAGAAGGTTAGGGGGCGTCCTTTTACCCTATTAGGTTTTGTTTTTATTCTATACATCTCAAAACTTATGAGGACAGCAAAGTGACCCAACATTTCAGAATCATGAATTAAGCAGATGAAAATAATTGGATCAGTCCCTCCCAAATATTACTTTCTTGCTTTCTATGAAATGTCAAAGAATAACAGGATAAACATCTTTAAACCATTGGAAAGTCTTATCAGAGCAGATGATTCTTATTATGGTTAAACATCAATTGACTTCTGTAGCCAGTCGTTTGATGGCACTGGTGTTCACTGTTCACTCTATCTATGCGTCTAATTGTGTCATTTCATATTAATCACTTATACTGTATTCCTAGGTAGTAGGTACGTGTATGTAGATGGTTTTTACTGACGGACAGCCGGCATTGGTTATACTTTTATGTGTCATATAAGTGTACAAGTTCTTCATGCAGGATTTTTTGAGAGAGTATAAGCATGAAAACTGATTGATGACATCATACATGGATGTGAGTAAAGAAATGCGAGATATGAATATCGGCAAGCTTGGAGATGCTGGTATAAGTATTATCTTCCCTGTTCTTGGAGGATCAATGCAAGGGAGTTGATGGAACTAGAGGATTTTAATTCGCAACTTGTATAACAATGTAAAATACGTTAGGTGTTCAGTTGGTTGTAGGCTATGTTGCATGGGTACAGGTATGGATACCGGTATGTGTACGGGTATAGGATATGGCAAATTTGTAAAAGGTAGGGTACGGGAACACAACTATATAAATATTTATATACACCTATATTATATATTGGAATTAATAATTTATATGAGAACAAGAATGAGAAATCAATTTCCTATAAAATTTTATGTTTCTTTACTATGTGGATAGTTTCTGAACTAGACATCCAAACGACCTTTTTAACTCATAATTCAGAGCCTAACCTATGTTCAAATAAGTTTGAAGAAGTGGATGTGTAGTGTAGGATATATGTCCAAAAATTTATGACAGCTATTTTAAATTAAAACATGTATTGTATAATTGAGTACAAACCCAAATAAATGTATGCATATGTACAAGGAGTGTCCAAGGAGTTCGGGTACGGGTACGGTAAGTTTCCGATACAGGTATGGGTTCAAATTAGAAGTGCCCAGGTAACATAGGTTGTATAAGAATTGGAACCAAGGAATACGGGAGTTGTTGAATTAGAAGTTTATTATATCATTAACAGAGAAATGATAACCTTCTTTTTGTTAAAAAGGCATGATTTGTTATATTCCCTCGCCATAGTGGCCCATTGGATGATTCGACTGACTAAAGGAACTGAAGTTGGGACAACTTATTCTAGTATGATCTACCCCCTTCTCACTATTAATTCTTACTGTAGCACATAAATCTATTAAGGCTGTCGAATATAGCATTAAGTAGACTTAGATAGCTGATCTTTAGTAATGCATGAAACGTGGAATCTTGATGCTTGAATGTGAATATTATCAGTATGCCTGAATAGCTATTTTACTTTAAAAAGTCTGGCACTGCAAAATGCATGCATTTACACTTAGGAATTTGAAGTCCACTTACTGGATTTTGATTAGTAGCATATCTTGTAAAATAGTAAATGAACTCTAGAGGACTAATAGAAACTTTACCTCATATGTGTGAATGTATAGTATACTTACGCTTGAAAGATGTAATTAATTCATAATATTTTAGGCATCACATAGCGAACAGATACCAAAGCTAATTATCCAAATAGCCAATATTATGTTGCATATCTTTACATCTGGTTTAAATTAGAATCCTGTGCTGGTGTTCAACAAGAGAGACTTACGGTGATTGCATTAATTTGGATCTTTTTCTCACTCTGTTGGTTGCTCTTGATTATAATTTTATATGTACTTGCAGAGTGCTTTAATAAGGGCTCATGTAAGCCGAATTCTGCCAATCAGGATATCACTGTATTTGGCATTCTGTTGATAGTAAGTGAGTTTTTGCGATTATTACTTTTACTTAGTGGCACATCTCTTCCAAAATGATACATGCATATATCTTTTTGTTCATAGTTGTGGACATCCACACTTTCGTCTCATCATATTTTCTTTAAAACTGAAACAAAAACCACTGTGGTTGAACTAAGCCCATTTAGAACTATAATCTTCCTTAAAGGGTTGATATCAATCGGATGACCACCTAAATTTAATCTATTGTATACTTGATGCCATGCAACAATAAAGCTTGAAGGCCATTTCTCTTCAGACAATTTGGAGTTTACACCTTTAATTCAGCGGTAGATACAACAGTCAGTTCATCTATCTGCATAGTTGAGGATATTGTATCTTTATACTCCTCGAAGAAGTTAATAATTATCTAATTGGGCTCGTATTTAGGATAGTTTGCTTGAAACTAGTTTTTATGTGGTAGGTAGCTCACTAATCTTTGCTCGATAGATTTGGTAACATGTTTCCATAAAATTGTTCTATTTGAACACTTTGTCCTATTTGAACCCTTTGTAGAGCAGAGGCATTCAGTTTTTGGAATTTTCGTTTGACCTTTTTTTTCATTCCTAATTAAGATTAAAATTACTTGCATGCACATTGAAATGTTGTTTTTCCCATACTTAACTATACTACTTTGTGATGCGGATCACACAGATGAAGATTTGTTGAGGATAGCAAGGTTATAGAAGACGTTAGGTAGCCTAGGCGTTTGACATGACGCCTAGAGCCTAGGCGTATGACCTGACGCCTAGAGCCTAGGCGTCTATGCGAAAGCCTAGTTATGCGAAAGCCTAGGCAGGGCCTAGTCATTTTCCTATTTTTTAGTTTTTAATTATAATCACTGATAGTAAATGCTAATGTTATAAAAAGCTTAGGCGCTGCACTGACACCTAGGTGGATTTCTTAAGTGGCGGTGGAGGATGTTTTGTTCAAGGTCGAGAGAGATAGAGGAGGTGTTTATAGTTGGAGTTTTAAGAAGGTTGGAGGATGTGGAGGCTGCAATGGGGAAAATCATGATCAGTGCCAAAATGGTGCAATCCATGTAGGCAGACCATGCTCCCCTAGGCGTTCCTAAAATATAGGTGGGTAACCTAGGTAACGTCTAGGCGTTAGGTGCTAGGTAGGCGGCCAAGGTACTACGTAGGTCTAGGCGTATGCGTAGGCAGAGGCTTTTTAAAACATTGGACTATTGGAGGATAGTTATGGATTAAACAAAATGAAAGATAAACTACTGACATTGCACTCATTTAAGAGAAAAGGATACAAATCTTGGGCTGGCATTTCACATGCATAGTACATTAGTAATTATTCATTTGAACACTTCGTAGAGCTAGGAAACATTAAGATTAATACTACTTGCATGCATTTTTGTTCCTTACTTTTCTAATCTATTTCTGATAGAAGGAAATTGCAATTATGTCAGGCTTGAAATTTCCTCTTTGAGAACTTAAAATTTAGAAATTATTCAATTTCTTCTTTATCTGTATTTATTAATAAGCAATATAATATATCATCTATACTAGAATATTATTTGATTATTCAAATTCTATTTCTTGACTTCAAAAAGTTATGTTTATTGGCAACCTTAGGTTTTCTTTACTATCTGATGTGTCCTTTCTCCTTTCTGAAGGTTGGACTAAGCTTGTTGCTACTAATTATATATAACTTTTCCGGCCAAGTTTTAACTAACCGTGAAAGGAAACAAGCCAAATCCAGAGAAGCGGCTGCAAGAATGGCAAGAGAGACTGTACAGGCCCGTGAAAGGTGGAAATTGGCCAAAGATGCTGCAAGGAAACAAGCAGTTGGACTTCAGAGTCAATTATCTCGTACCTTCTCCCGTAATAAGTCTAAGGGTGTTGGCTGTTTTACATCTGGCGATAATAAAAAACAAGCTACCCCTTCCATTCCTCTAACTGTGCCTCCTCAATCATCAAAAGCATCGACATCAAAGAATAAGGAACCAGGTGACCTTACCAAGATGATGCATGCATTAGACGAGAACCCTGATAATGAAATGGGTTTTAATCTGCAAATTGGAGATAAAAACCTTAAAAAAAATATTCCCAAAGGCAAAAAGATGCATACTCGTAGCCAAATCTTCAGATATGCTTATGGTCAAATCGAGAAAGAAAAAGTTATGCAGCAGGAAAACAAGAACTTGACATTTTCAGGAGTGATTGCAATGGCTACGGACAATGAAGTGAGAAGTAGGCCTGTGATGGAGGTTGCCTTCAAGGACCTTACTCTAATTATTAAAGGGAGCGGAAAGAAGATTCTGAGATCAGTGACGGGAAAATTAATGCCTGGTCGGGTTGCAGCTCTCATGGGCCCATCTGGGGCAGGAAAAACTACATATCTTAGTGCTGTTTCAGGAAAAGTAACTGGATGCAAGTCAAGTGGTTCAGTTCTTATAAATGGAAAAAAGGAGCCAATTCAGGCATACAGAAAGATTATTGGTTTTGTACCACAAGATGACATTGTGCATGGAAACTTGACAGTAGAGGAGAATCTTTGGTTCAGTGCTAGATGCAGGTATTAAGTTATACTCATGCTTTTACACTGTATGATTTCATTCTTTTCTCATCGAGTTATGTCTGTTCATACATGAAAATAGCAGCTTACTTGTACAATTTAGTGAAATGACCATCGTGCATGTTTATTTCCAGTTCTGCGGAATTTGCTACCTTTTGCATTTCTTTAGATCTGGGGGGGTAAAAAAGAAGAGGACTCAGTAACTGGTACTATGGAGCATAGTCATATGTGAAAATTTGGAACATTTTCATTCTTAATTGCAGTAATCCTTCTATATTTTCTTTTCTTAGCTATTTCCTACTGTCAGCTGGCCCAAAACAGAGAACATAGGGATAAACTAACAAGTGAATTTAGATGTGGTTCTTTGAAATTATAAAGTCTTAACAAATCCTTTTGCACATCGTACTGATATTCGACGCATACCTAACATTCTTCTTTGGTAGGGATTGATTGTCATATTTATTCATTTTTAAGTATTTCTATAAGTATTTTATAGTTGCACATTTGCCATGGGACATAGTGGATAAGGAAAGGCCACTCTTTACTATCTCATATTTCCCTTGCCATCCTGATTATGGATCTTTGGCACACTCTGTTAATCCTTCTTATATTATGAAGCTTTCCCTGATGATTGTTTTAGCTATAAATGATAATGCTTATACTCTCCCACACTAAAGGATATAACTCCCTACTACTATATTTAATATTATCTCATATGATTCTCTTATACTTATTCTCCTTTTTGTTATATACAAACTTATCTCTGGGAAATTTTGTAGGACTCTGTGAAGGGCATCCATCCAGACTTGTGGTGTAATGCTATGAGTTTTTGTATAGTAATGCATGCTGTTTGATTTGCTTTTTTATACAAAACTTAAATTGGTTAGTGTTAGATATTATTGATATTTAGATTTAGGAGATATTATGAGATATTATTGAGATATTGTGAGATGTGATTAGATATGATTTTATCTCATACCTATTTTGTAATATCCTCTAATCTCTATTTAAGAGAAGTTAGGGCTAGAAGAATAACAATTTCGGCTAATCTATTTCTCTATAGTTAGGTACTTACTGCCCCATCATTGAACCAGCACATCTCAACATATTTACGATGTTAATTAAATTTTTTTTTCTTTTCTGAATCTTTTCTATTCTAAGATAAGGCTTGATTGTTATCCTTGTTAGTTTTTAGAATTTTGATTTTGAGTTTTGTGTCTGTATTTGCAATAGAAGACACTGAAGGAAGAAAATGCAGTTGTATTATCCTGTCCATGAAATTGCAATGCATATTTGCTTTTCGAACTCAAGTTGTCATCTCCCCAAAAATATGAATTCTCTCCTTGACCACCATCACTTTGGATTATAATGATGGTTGATTCAATTTGCTAGAGAAAATTTTGATTACAAGCTTAAAAGGCTATACAATAATCTGCTTGACAGCATGATAACGTTTATGCTCTGAGGAAATGAGGCTTGTTCCTGTGTTAGTAACATCATTGCTTTTTCTCAGTACTGTTATATCCATTCTACATATTTTCACTGTTCAGTTTGAGTTCTTATTCACGAACCTGACTTTGATGATTTCTTACAAATATTATTACGGTTGACCAATTTTCACCAATTTTCTTTGTCACAGGTTTGATGATCCACATATTAGAATATAAAAATATAACCCTCAATTTTCAACACAAATATGGAGTTTTTGTGTAATGGTTAGAGGGACCTTAACACAGTATGAGAGCAACCCAGGTTCAAATCCCAACGTCCGTGAATTCAAAGCGGATTTTCTAAAATTTGACACTCTTGTGTGAGTCTAGGTTTCAGCCCATAAAAAGAACACTCAATCTACAGGGGCATGTTAGAATATAAAAATATAAGCCTCAAGTTTCACCACAACTTCTGAGTTTTGGTCCAATGTTCAGAGGGACCTTAACACCACATACAACACAAATTCTAAACATGTATCTGCTTCCAAGGACTCTTTTAAGACTAACTGTGTCATTTCTAAATAAAAGCGCTGATATCAATATACATTTTGGCTGCTAGTAAAGACCAATTGACAATGCCTAGGCTGACGGTGGTTATAGGATATCAACATCAAGGATACTCTGAATATTGTCTTCTGTTCTTCATATTTGATTTGCTCTTTATGCATTGTGCCTTCTGCACATTATTTATTTCCCCTTTGAATTGTTTGCTGGCTAATTATATTGAAAATTGTTAATTATTTTAAACTATCTTTTCTATCCCAGTTAGCAACATGTAATCAATGCTCTTGAAACAGGGGAAACTTCAATGGCTATTTTCTTGGATATATCACACCTAATCTTAACTCTCAGCACTAATTGTGCCATTGGATGCCTGTGCTTTCTTTAATAAAGTTCAATATTTTGTCCCTTTTTTTCATATCATTTGCATCAGTATGTCCTTGAAAGTCATTTTCAACGTGAATATACGTCATATTATCTCATGCTATTGTTTTTTTTATATTATCTCATGCTACTGACTTGGAAAAGGCTAGCTCATATCCCAAAAGTATTATTTTCGTTATTGTTGTTGAGTTGGTATTTTTTATTATTTTAGAGAATTTTAATTTTCGTTTATTTCCATGTGCTGTAGACTTTCAACTGACATGTCAAAAGCAGATAAAGTTTTGGTTGTGGAAAGGGTTATTGAGTCTTTAGGCCTACAAGCCATACGGGATTCTTTGGTTGGGACGGTTGAGAATCGTGGGATTTCTGGTGGACAGAGAAAACGTGTAAATGTTGGTTTAGAAATGGTTATGGAGCCGTCATTGTTGATACTGGATGAACCTACATCTGGTTTGGATAGTTCTTCATCTCAGCTACTTCTGAGAGCTCTTCGACGTGAAGCACTAGAAGGGGTAAATATCTGCACGGTGGTTCACCAGCCCAGGTTGTTTTTAATATTCATGATTGTTATTTCTTTATAAGATGATTGTTTACATATGGTATTTTTTTGTTGCACATTTTGATATTTCATGGTAAAGTTTATTTTCGATGGTATTAGTAAATCATTTTACAGAATGAAAAATTTGGACAGTTGGTAGAGAACTTGTTTCTGATGGAAGAGGGTGCAATTTCAGATTTTTGCGTTGATGTTTATAGAAAAACCATTTCCTTCTTTCGGGTGGGAGTTTTTGTGTGTGTGTGCTGTACATGCGTGTGCGTGTGCGTGGGGGTGGTTATGTACGTAGTCATTCAAAATAAAGAGCTAACTAAACAAATATACAGAGCATTGTCTATAAAAAAGATTAAAAAAATAGAGTACTGTGATGTTACAGACTAAAAATGAAAATTCTTTATATTAACTGGCTGGATGTCACTAATGCAACCATGGAGTACAACATCATAGAATTTGAGTTTTGCTAAATCCCCTATATTTCATGGGATATCTGTTATGGTTATTGCTTCTGATTGTTTCCATCTTGTAATATGCTCTAATTTCCTCTCTTGCTTTCTGCTGGACATAGATTTATATTTGATATGTAAATGCAATTCCTTATAAGAAAACTATCATCTTTCCCTTCGGACTCTCTGTTCGTTCAAGACAAGTTCAGAGAGAGTCTTCTTTTTCATGAGCTTAGATTGCACCCCATACTTTGTTATGGAATTTGGTGTCAGTCAACAAGGTTGATGTCAGATTTGACAACTTGTTGTGCTACATGGTCAATATTATTGGAGACCTGTTTGCCATCCTCATTGATGATGATGATGGTGCTACTGCTGACAAGGTTCTTGTTGTTTGGACATAAAGAGTAGCATAACCTCATAGTGCTCTCTAATTTGGTACTTGAATAGGTATTTTATGCACCAAGCCCTGACATGCTAATGTAAAGAATATGAAACCCTAATTCATTATGAGATCTCTTGGGGCTTTATATAGACCCCTACACAACTTACAAATAAGTCACTAACTAATACTAATATGTCAACACTCCTCCTCAAGATGGGCGAAAGATATCTACTAAGCCCATCTTGTCACATCCTCTAATCATATCTACTGAGCTAAGTCCTTTAGTCAGACAATCTGCTGCCTGGTCCTTAGTCGAAACATGACTTAGCTCCAGTAGTCCACTATCCAACTTCTCTTTGATGAAGAACCTATCGATCTCGATGTGTTTGGTTCTATCATGCTGCACTGGGTTGTTGGCGATACTGATGGCTGACTTGTTTCATGCTGCACTGGGTTGTTGGCGATACTGATGGCTGACTTGTTGTCACACCACAACTTCATCTTAGCTCATTGATCCAGCTTCAGCTCCACCAGCATACTCTTCAACCATAGTAACTCAGCAATTCCTAAGGTCATAGCTCTATACTCTGCCTCAGCTGTCGATCTCGCCACCACCGACCGCTTCTTGCTCTTCCACGAGACTAAGTTGCCTCCTATAAAGATGCAGTATCCTGAGGTGGACCTCCTGTCATCAGCACAGCTAGCCCAATCAGAGTCACAATAGCCCTCAATGCTCATGTGTTCATTCTTCCTGAAGATTAGCCCTTTTCCGGGGGCATTCTTCAAATACCTTAGAATCTGGTACACAACGTCCATATGACCCTTCCTTGGATCATGCATGTAGCGACTCACCACGCTCACTGCAAAAGAGATATCGGGACGTGTGTGACACAGATAACAGATAGATCAACCTGCCCACCAGCCTTTGGTATCTGTCACGATCAACTGGTTCTCCAACTTCAGCACCCAGCTTAAACTTCTGATCGATCGGTGTAGTTGCAGGTTTGCATCCTAACATTCCTGTTTCTTTGAGAAGATCCAGTGCATACTTTCTCTGGGATAGGACGATCCCCTCCGCTCCTCGAGCTATCTCTATTCCAAGAAAGTATCGAAGCAAGCCAAGATCTTTCACCTCGAATTCCTTACCCAGTCTCATTTTGAGTTGGGCAATCTCCTTCTCATCATCCCCTGTAATAATCATATCATCCACATATACTGCAAGCAAGGTGATGTGACCTCCACTTCTTCGAAAGAACACGGTATGGTCAGCGCTGATCTGCTGGTACCCCATACCTATTATAGCTCTCCTGAATCTGTCAAACCAAGCACGAGGAGACTGCTTTAGCCCATAGAGAGACTTCTTCAATCTGCAGACCTTTTCCACTGTCTGATCTGTACCGAATCCTGGTGGTATCTCCATGTATACCTCCTCCACTAGATCTCCATGAAGAAATGCGTTTTTCACATCTAGTTGGTGTAGCTTCCATCCGCCATTTACTGTCAGAGAGATTAAGGTCCAAACAGTGCTCATCTTTGCCACCGGTGCAAAAGTCTCATCGTAGTCGATGCCATATGTCTGACTATATCCTTTCACCACCAGACGAGCTTTGTAGCGCTCAACCTGTCCATCTGGATTCTGCTTCACAGTGAAGACCCACTTGCATCCAACTGCTCTCTTCCCTTTTGGTAGTTTTACTAACTCCCAAGTGCGGTTCTTCTCAAGGGCCCTTAGCTCTTCGTGCATAGCAGCTTTCCATTTCTGGTCCTTCTTTGCAACCTGTCAATTGTTAGGTATAGTAACAGAGTCCAGTGATGTAATGAATGCTCAATGTGCAGGGTGGATGTTAGAATATGATACAAACTGAGCAAGATCCCAACCATATCTATCGGGAGGATTTCCCTCATTACTGCGAGTAGTCCTCCGTACAGTTATTGGTGTGGGATGAGTAAGAAGATGAATGGAATCACCTTGAGAGGAATCTGGTGGTGGTGTAGGTGTCTCAGGAGTCGGGGCAGGCGTTGGCAAGGAACTTGGCACCAGTGGCAATGTAGGTACTGTTCCCGTAATTTGTTTCCCCTTCCTATTATAGGTAAATAGTTCCCCCTGAGCCGTTGGTCTAACACCTCTTGTCTCATTCTCCTCTACTTCTTTATTCTCTTGCTCCTCCTCAACCAAGTCTCCTTCCCAAGGAATCGTTACAGAAATTGATTTTTCTGATCTCTCACCATTCTCCTCCTCTCGCCTCATACTTCCAGTATTAGACGAGTTACCAACGGATGACGTTACCTTCCGGGTGTAATATGGCTCGAGTTCTCGGAAGTGCACGTCCATGCTTACAAACAACCTTTTCTCCATCGGGCTCCAGCAAACATATTCCTTCTGAGTAGCAGAATATCCCACAAAGATGCACTTCACAGCTCTAGGGGCAAGTTTCCCGACAGATGATGGCCTGTTGTCCTTCACAAAACACACACAGCCAAACACTTTGAGTGGAAGGATCCCACCATTATCTCCTTTCAATATCTCACACGGAGACTTCCAATCCAGCACTCTCGAGGGCATTCTGTTGATCAGCGCTGCTACGGTTAACACTGCTTGCCCCCACAATGTTTCTGGGACATTCATAGAGATCATCATGCTTCTAGCAACCTCTAAAAGATGTCTGTTCTTCCTTTCCGCTACCCTATTCTGAGCTGGTGTGTATAGACAGGTTGTCTGGTGATGTATTCCCTGAGCTGACAAATATTCTTCAAACGCTCTGTTGGTATACTCTGTCCCATTATCCGACCTCAATATCTTCACCACTGCTCCGTATCGAGTCTGAACATTCCTATGAAAGTTTTGGAAGCACCCAAACACTTCACTCTTATTCTTCATCAAGTATAACCAAGTCACACGAGAGAAACAATCAATAAATGTAACAAAATACTTGTATTCATTCATAGAACTTGTAAAACAAGGCCCCCAAACATTTGAATGTACCAAGTCAAATACACGAGAACTTCTATGACCTGAACTAACATAAGAGCTTCTAGTAAGCTTTCCAAACTCACATGCATCACACACAAGTTTCTGTTTATTTGCTTTCTCAAATAAAGAAGGATACAATCTACCTAAAACACTAAAGGATGAGTGTCCCAAACGCTGGTGATGAAGCATTAACTCATTCTCAGTACTCATATTAGATCCTACTCCTGCTTCCTCTACTACTGACACCAATGCTGAATCCAACCCTTCACGATCCAGATACCACAGTCCACTACGTCATGTGCCAGTCCCAAGTCTCCGTCCTGTCCCCTTCTCCTGAAAGATCACCTTGGGAATATAAAAAAAAATGCATTTTAGTTGGAGGATGATAGAACTAATGGACAAAAGATTGACTGGAAATGAAGGAGCATGCAAAACATTGGACAAAGTTACAGAACCAATACAATCGACTGTACCCTTACCAACTACCAGCTGAAATGTACCATCAGCGGTTTGAATACTATCAGGTGATGCTAAGTGAGTATATGATGAGAACTCACTAGCATTACCTGTCACATGCCGAGACGCACCGGAGTCGACTATCCAATCTGATGATCTGTTGGGAGAAATAGAAGCAAGAGCATGTATGTCATCAGTACCTTTGGTCGGATGAGCATAGATAGCAGTATTGCCTCTGGCGAAGAACGAAGTGGATGTCTCCTCAGTCCCACTCCTCAAGTCTCCATCCCCTGCTACTTGCTGCTTCCTCCTGAGTATCGCCAGGAGAGCACGATCCTCCTCAGTAAAGACCACCTCAGCTTCGTCTTCTTCTGCTACCGTCAGATTTGCCCGATTCCCTGCTCCTCTGCCACCTCGTCGACCCCCACGGCCACGACCACGACCTCCGAATTGTCCACGTCCACCCGAATCTCCTTCCTTGGGTGGTTTGGTGCAAGCATGCCTTAGATGACCCACCGCACCGCAGTTGTAGCACTGTCGAGTCTCTCCCCTAGATCCAGTATTACTAAAGGCTGCCGGTGCTGACTTCACCACCGGAAGTCCACCTGTCCCCGCCTGCAGCCGAATGCGAGTCTCTTCCTGAATCATAGCAGAGACAGCCTCCTCAAGCGTGGGAATTTTCGGCTGAGCTAGCAGTAATGCAATTCGCTGAGCGAACTCTGATGTCAATCCCTTGAGAAACACCATAGTCCTCTCCTGTAGAAAGGCTTCCCGCTCTTTACATCCCGGGTCCTTGCAGCTAGCCCAGGGGGAAAAATGATCATAGTCTAGCCACAGGCGCTCCAGCTCTGTAGCATATTCCTGTACAATCCTCTCTCTTTGGACTGTGGCGTCAATCTCTCCTTTAATCTGGAACACCCGCAGGTTATTCCCCACCCCATCATATGTTCTCCTCAACTTCTCCCAGACGTCCTTCACCTTCTCAATGCCATCCACCGTGGCGGCGATCGTCGGGACCAACGAGTTGAGAAGCCAGATGTACACCAACATATGAGTGGACTTCCACTCATCTCGTCCTCCGAGTCCTCATCCGGTTCTGTCTTCTCTCCGGTCAAGTAACCCTCCAGGTTGCAAGGGTGTATCTCACCCGTCGTGACCAACTCAGGTAGGTACTCGGTCCATCAAGCTTCAGATCGATGGTCGGAAGCTCAAACTTCTTCGATGGTCTTGTCGTGCTTTCATCAGCAGACAACTTCATCAACTTCATCAAAGTTAACACCTCCGCAGGGTTCAACTTCTTGATGATCTCCTCCATCGATCAAGCTTCAGATCCAACACCTGTTCACCTTTCTCTTCAAACCCTTGTTGTGCGCAGTGAAAATTTCAGCAGCACTTCTGCTGCACAACAAGAGTAAGATCTCCAACAAATTCTCGTTTCTCAGAGGAAACTAGAACCAAAAACAGTTATATATCTCATCGATGTGAGATATATACTCTTCCTGTCATCAGTTCGAGGACTGAGTCGAGGGAACCAATGCCAAACTCGAGGTCCGGACATAGCCCCCACCATGCAAGCGGCGGGCAAAGGGTGGGGGGGCTCTGTAGCAGCGAAAAAGGCCGGGGCGGGTAATGCAGGCGGGTTTCAAGAAGGGGGGGGGGCGTTGTTTTTGGCGTGGACGTTCGGCCTGAGGGGGGGGGGGGAGCTGGTTCGTGGGGGAGGCGGGGGCTTGATCGTGTGGGGCTGGTTCGCTGTGGATGGTTTCTGGGCAGGAGCTGGGCAGCGGTGTTCGACTGGGAGGGGGGGGGCGGTCGTTGAAGGCGCAGCCGGCAGGGGCGCGTTCTGGGCCGGTTCTCGGGCAGCCGGACAGAGGGTTTCTGCGGCATCCGGTTTTGGGAGTTTGCAGCGGGTGAGGATGGCAGCGCGCTCGAAGGAAGCAGAGGTAGGGTGGAACGGCGGCTAGGAGGAGTTTTCCGAGTGGTGGGGGGGAGTTGGCACTGATAGAGGGGGCGCCCGGGGCCAGCCGCGGTGGTGGGGGGTGGAGGCGGCTAGGGTTTTGGTGGAGGCTCTGATACCATAAAGAATATGAAACCCTAATTCATTATGAGATCTCTTGGGGCTTTATATAGACCCCTACACAACTTACAAATAAGTCCTAACTAATACTAATATGTCAACATAATGTTTCGTAAGCTCTAGTATGAAAAAGTATCAGAGAATAGCACCCCTCCCTCTCTGTAACTTTTTCTCGAAGCAGTATAGGCAATGACCAAAATCTATCTTTATTGCATACACGAAAGAAACTACATATCCGTGCACGTCTACTCTTAATAGACCAAGACGGATGAGGTATTTGATCCGTGCGTTTATCTTCATATAATGAATACATTAATATCACAACCAATAACAAATCAAATTCTTTGGTTAATTGGTGATGTTTTTTAAGCTCTTAGTCAAGAATTTAATGCAACATCTCACTGTTATCTCTTATATCGAACAACTTTATATGTCAGGACTGTAAACAGATGGGCCATATGCCAACCCATCCTTCCAATGGCTAATCTCAAATAATCTTCATTTACAGCTATGCTTTGTTCAAGATGTTCGACGATTTGATTCTTCTAGCAAAAGGAGGTATAACAGTATATCATGGATCAGTGAAGAAAGTTGAGGAGTACTTTGCAGGTCTAGGGATCATTGTTCCTGAGCGTGCGAATCCCCCAGATTACTTTATTGACATTTTAGAGGGAATCGTTAAGCCACCAGGTGTTAATGTTAAACAGCTGCCCCTCAAATGGATGCAGCATAATGGGTATGAGATACCCCAAGATATGCTGGAACTTCTACGTTCACCTGATCCATCAGAAAGTGCTGATGAGGGTTCCTCTTCTGAAGGTGTAGGTGCTGAACAGCCTGTTTCAAGTGAAGAATTGGGCAATATCAAGGTTTCTGATGAGGTGAACAAAAATGATGATTTAGTGGGTAGTTACTCAAAAGCTTGTGATTTTTCGAACCGCAGAACACCCGGTGTCCTTCGGCAATATAGATACTTTTTAGGAAGGTAGTTATTTACTTCTATGTTGATGAGATTCTTAGAACCACTTTTTGGCATTATTACTGCATAAAGATCTAATTTTTCATTTCAGGGTTGGAAAACAGCGTCTACGAGAAGCTAGAATACAAGGAGTTGATTATCTTATATTAGGGCTTGCTGGAGTATGTTTAGGAACTCTTGCTAAAGTTAGCGACGAAACATTTGGGGCTCTTGGTTACACATACACTGTTATTGCTGTTTGTAAGTGAAAGATTTCTTTCCCTTCTTTGTGCTGTTAACTACGCCAATAAATTGATGATATTGTTATTATTCCTATACTTGGCATATTAGTTTGTCTTGGCTCATGCAATAAGTGTTCGTGCTCGACTGAATATAATGAATATTTCTATTTAGTGTATTTTGTTGCATTTGTCTAAGTTTCATGTGGATTAGCAGCATAAAAGGTATAAATTTAGTCCCATATAAGGTACAAAGAAAGAAAAATTGATGATTAACTAAGTTTCAAAGCAAGACTGTGATAGGGGTTTATCTGTTTTGGTTATTGTGGACTGAAGCGACTTTGATGGGGGTTTCTCTGTTACGCAAGCAACAACCTTTATGGGCCGTTTTGTCAATTGTCATCATTTAGGCCTTGATTGAGGACTGATTGTCAACCCTCTCTTAACTAATGCTAAAATATTGACCAAGAGGATATAGGCAAGAGAGGGTTGCTACAACCTAAAATATGAGTTGGTATCATCCAAATTCTCTTTGACAAGGGAAAAAAAATCTAGTAGAAGAAACATGGTTAAATCTGTATGAAGGTATACACCTTTATGGGTCTACATAAACTGTGCATGTGTTACGAAGCATATCTTATTCATATTTTGCACGTACCACTTTAATTTGTATGGAGATCTTTAACTCATAAGTTAGTGGCCTTTTCATTTCCTATCATATCCATTAGTCAAATCTTCAACTATTGAAACTGGGGTTAGCTATGGGATCATTGTTTTAGTGGATCAGCCAATATTTATTTTTTGTCCTCCCAAGTGTCATCTGTCACTGTGAATTAGTGCCATCATAAAGCAAGTGCAGAACTTGCATTTCATCTTGATAATTATGGGCGAGTTGGTAGACATATCTTTTCAGCCAGGCAGTTTAAGCTTTAACCTTTGAACAACCATCCTGATTCCACTGAACAAGAAAAACTCCTTGAGTATCAAGATAAATAATATAAGGTAATGAATTTCTTTAGGTAGTTGCATAGTTTTAGATATTTAATGAAGTCCAAGGATATAAACAAAATCACAATTTTTACTGCAGGTGTTTTATTAGTCATTAATTTTCTGTGTATAATGCTAGTGAAATATGTTTATTATTTAGTAGGATTTCACTCTATCATCTCCTAGTAGATTGATTGGGGAAAATGTTCATGCATGTTGAGCTCAGAACTTTTCAATAAATTTGCAATTATTGTCTAGTTAAAATTGGTTGAGAAAATTTTCCAGTGTCACACATATATGTCCCTAATTGTATGAATATATATCACAGTTAACTTACTAACACATCTCGAATCAACTCCCTAGCTATGCCTTGTTTTTGCATTGAAGCAATTATGTTGCTTTGCAGCTCTTTTGTGTAAGATCGGAGCCCTGAGATCATTTCAACTTGAGAAGTTGGAATATTTGAGAGAGAGAGCATCGGGCATGAGTACAGCTGCTTACTTTATGGCAAGAGACACCCTTGATCATTTCAATACAGTCGTCAAGCCAATAGTTTATCTTTCAATGTTCTACTTCTTCAACAATCCAAGGTCATCAATTCAAGACAACTATTGTATTTTGGTGGCATTAGTGTACTGCGTGACGGGTATTGGTTATACTTTTGCTATCGCCTTTCAACCAAGCTCAGCCCAGCTGGTATGTACATTGGACTTTGGCAGTAAGTTCTTTTAATAAAGAATATAATACCCAAAAAGACTTATGTTCTAACTCATAAAAATTATTGTTCTACAGTGGTCTGCACTCGTACCTGTTATCCTAACTTTAGTGGCAACTCAGTCAAATTGTGCAAAGTGGATAAAGAACTTATGCTATACAAAATGGGCATTGGAAGCATTTCTACTTTCAAATGCAGAAAGGTATGTCTAATTTGATTTTCGTTCTTGGAACTCTACAATATTTATAGTTATGGACCCTTACGAGTTTGAGAATAACAATGCCCATTTGAGTTAAATTGCGTGGATCATTCCTGGAACGCAGAAAACTGCACTCCCTTGACATGAGAAAGAATAAGATCCGAAAAGAACTATTCCTTTTCAATATTATCTCTGAAAAAGGCTTAAGTTTGTTTGAAAGAGTTGGGTTAGAATTTGACCTTGAGCCAGGTACCTCGTAAAATTTTAAGCTCTTCGTGTATTGAAATTTTAGATCGATTTCTTGGGAGGAGGAATTATTCACTTTGCTTACTGCAGTGGAGCTAATGGTAGTCACTGCTTGCTACTTTGTGCTAGAAACTGCTAACATTTTTCAGAACATAGGAGGTTTTTCCTCTCACTATTTATACTTCACAATGAACGAAAATTGACAACGTTCACGGTTATTCCAATGTGGAGCTCCTTATGTCAATGTACATCCAAATTTTGCCTTCTACATAATTTAACAAGTTTGAGAACTGTGATATCTGAAACTCCACGTCCAAGACACATTCTCAAACATGTCTTGGAAACTTCTTATTATATAGCATATTTTCTTTGTTCTATTACATACACCAATGCTTGTAACTTGATTTGCCATAAAAATGGTTTCCACTTTTAAAGTTGTCAACTGACTGTTTTCAAACTGGGGATCATGCAAAATGCACTATTAGAACTGAATAGTATTTTGTTTTGACATAAGACTCCCAAATTAGTCTGTTTGTCTTCCAATTTTTAAAATTTAAAATATTAATATTTGATGGCATAATACCATTTTTTTGGGCATCTTAATATTAGAAACCAATATTTTGCAAGAGGAGGAGAATGATATAGTAAGGGGTTGTTTGGTTAGGTGGTTTTATAGAAAACTTTATAGAAAATGGCTGATAGTGGCAGTTTTGTAAATAAAATTTTTCTGGAGATTTCTATAAACTGTGTTTGGTTCAAAAAAATTTATAGAAAAGTTTTCTATAAAGTACAGAAAAGTACCCCATTTTATAGAAATCAATTTCCGCTCAAAATGGGCGGAAATCAACTAGAAATCTGACGCATATATTAAAAAATAATTAAGTACATTAGTACACTTCCCATGTGATTTCCCATGGGCATTGTTAGTAAGCCTTTTTTTAAGCAAAAAAGTTTCTCATATTCTTATATAATAGGATCAAGTTACATGGTTTTCCTCCTGTAAACTTCAGGAGCAAGTACATCATGAGACATCCCTCGCTTGTACAAGAGTGCTTACATCACTAACTATAACAAAAGACATGTGAGCTATTAACTTGGAGCTCCTGAAGAACCAAAATAAAACAAAATAGGAAGCTCGTGATTGCAACACTATCATACAAACCCATTGTGAAGTCACCCCAAATAACAAGCAATCCGACCTGGGTATCATAACCACGAAGCACATGCACCTATGTTGCAGAGATAAACCGAAAACCCTATACCTTTTCCCAGCATAACCGCAGTCACCAGCAGGTTCCAGAATGAGTTTGCAAGAGTGAGCACAAGATAGCATCAAAGTAATACAAGACCAGACGTGAAGCCTCAAAATAAACATCAATCCGATCTGAATACCATGTCCAATATGCATCTGCCTCTCTACTGCAGTCATAATCCGAAACCCATAGACCTCTTGCAAGCAAAGCCCCAGCAGATAACAAAGTTGGGTGTACACCAGAACCATCAGTGCCATGTCAATCAACCAGCTCCCATAATCAGGCTCATAATGCAATTGCTCTGCTGCTGCAGGGAGAACCGAAACCAATCCCCCATGCCCAGTAAGCACCAGGACAGAAGCAGGACCATAAAACATATTATCGAACCAAACTAAAAAGTGACATCCAACCAAACAATAGAACAAGAAAACAACATATTTTTTATAGAGTCAGAAACTTTTTCATACTTTGAACCAAACAAAGAAATAGCAAAAAGCAAGAAATATGGTACTCTTTTGAGTTCTATAAATTTTTACTACAAATTTTATAGAAATACAAGGAAATCAAATTTTGTGTACTTTTCTTTTTCCTCTTTTTTTTTTTTATAGAAATTGAACCAAACAGCCCCTAGTTGTGGTTGAATAAACTCTGGCTGGTTAAATGTGGACCTTAGCATCTGCACCTAATCTAAATGTTCTATTATTGGAAGGAAAAAAAATTTAATTTCATGGCTAATTAATTGCTAGGTTAGAATTACCAAGCACAAATTATAAGAACAAGATAACGAAAAAACAGAGAAGGGGAGGAGAAACAACGTACTTGTATTTACAGTACTACTGCTTACTTTATACCAAATGTACATAATTTGTAGCATCTCTGATGTTTTTTTTCCTTGTTGCAGGTACTCCGGGGTTTGGTTGATAACGAGATGTGGTTCCCTGATGAAAAGCCAGTATGATATTGATGACTGGTGGATTTCGATAGGGATCCTTGTTCTCTATGGCTTAACTTTTCGCTTGATTGCTTATATATGTATGGTTACCCTCCTTAAGAGGTGAAGCCTGAAAATTTTGTATTTTTTAAGCTTTCCCTCCCCCTACCCTTTTTGTGGGTTTAGGTTTAAGTTGTTGTATGTAATATAGTTGTCAAAAGCAGTGCATGTAAAATAGAGTAATTTAAATCAGTATTAAAACGGGGAAAAAAAAAGAAAAGAAGGGGGTTTCTCATAAGCCCCCCTTCCTCTGAGTTTCAAACTTTTCTTATTAGACCCTCTAAATGCAATTTGTAAATAATTAAAAATTTCTTCAAAAGAAAAGAAATTCGTATCGGAAAAAAAAGAAAAGAAGGGTCAAGTGAACTTTGTAGGACCGAATCGCAAAGTCTGGCCGCAAGCGCACTTTTCACGGGCCACCCTCTCGCCTCCCTTGAAAACTCAAAGGGCACGCGTATCGGAAAATTTGCAGAAAAGGACTCCATAAAAAGCCCGAAATGCGACCAGCAGCAGCCGCTCTTCGGGCCGCCATTATTCCCGCTCTCTTCTCCTGTTCTTGCCCTAAAAATCTCCGCTTCCTCCAAATCCCTTCCCTCATTCTCTCTCCTCGCTCATCGAAGAACCCTAGCTCCAGATTCTCCTCCTTCTTCTCTTCTTCAGCTCTCGACTCCTCTCCGTCCCCTTTCATGGAGAAGCAGTTCGAGGATTTTCGGGTCCAGCTGGAAGAATCCGGATCCGTTAGGGATCGGATTCGGGCGGTGGCCAGCGAGATGGAGTCCGCGACTCGGCTGATTCATGCTAGCTTGCTTCTCGTTCATCAGTCACTCCCAGTTCCAGGTCAATTTTAGGGTTTTAGGGTTTAAGAAATTTCAATATCTTTTGATAAAGTTCTTATCTTTTTGTGTGGTGTTTGGGGTGTTAGAGGTGGTGGAGAAAGCTAAGGTTCAGATTGAAGTGCTGAAGGGGCTTTTCGGGCGGCTTGCTGAGATTCTCAAGGAATGCCCTGGGCAATATTACAGGTAGAGTATATTTTTGGGGGGATTTTCTTTTCCTTCCTTCGTTTTGGTTCTTTAAGTATTTTGTTAAAGTGAGTATGATTATCGTTGGGGATTTAGGTATCATGGGGATTGGAGGAATGAGACCCAGACGGCCGTTTCTTTGATTGGGTTTCTGCATTGGTTGGAGACGGGAGAGTTGCTGGTGCATTCGGAGGCTGAGGAGAAGCTTGGATGTGAGGACTCTTTTCGCTTTTAAATTTTCTAAAGTTCTTAGAGTGATTTTCATAGAGAAATAATAATTTATAGTGGGTATAAATTTACTTTGTGAATGTACCTTTGTCACGCAAAGCATGAGGTTGAGTACTAATGTTAAGGGTGTGTGTCATTATTCTGGTATATTATTTCTTATTGGGCATGTGGAAGTACTATGAGGCGGTTGCTAACTGATACAAGTATGTATCAGTTATAGCTAAAACACGATTGATGAAAAGGATAAACGTAGTGAATAAAATGCAGATGAAGAATTCTGTGGTTTAGCTAAAACCTATGTCAACATGTGGAGACGATGTGAGAGGAAATAGCGTGAGTTAGAAGGTTTAACAGATTATTTTCATTTACTTGATTCTGGGTTTTCTTACTAGTTTATCAAGATTTATTCTATAGATGTTTGATTTTAAAATTCAAATTGAATAATGTAATTGTGGTTCTATTGCTTTAGGAAGTATTTCAAGTTTTCATCTCTTGGTTGTTTTCTTGTGCTATTTTCAGGACATCTAGTATTCTTCTAAATTCTTCAGTCATAATGTTCTAATTCTGTGTATGTTGGAATCTTTTGGCAAAATATGCCAGAGTTATGAACTGTTCTGGATGGCTGACTACATCCAAATTTCTAGTGTTTTGACTAGTAATAATTTAACAGTTATACTTCAGGTGAAACTTAGGAGTCATTTCTGATGAAGAAATTTCTTTATTAGTGACCCAACTGATGTAATTGCTTGAGTAATGAGACTACTTCTACACCAAGCAACTTGTGATGGACAAGAATATGTGAATAATTTCCATGCCAAAATACTGACATCAGTCAGTGTTTGGAGGTAGGTTTTAATGAACTGTTTGTTGTCAGCTCCATAAGAAGGAAAGTGCCCAGCTTGTAATTACTTATTTGTGTAACTAAATTGATATGTTCCGTGATATTATGTTCAGATAAAGGCCCTACACATAATGAAGTTTATATCTCTCTTTATCCTTGATGATATTATGACATTGTATCTGAAGTATCAAATTGGACAATACTTTGTCTTTGAGTAGTTTTCTTCTTTTAGAAAAGGATTACTGACTCTGACTTGCTCCTTGCAGTGAATGCTTCAGAGTTTGGTCTGGACGTGGAAGATTATCTTACTGGTTAGCCTTCCTATTATTTCCTATAAATTTTTTATCCACATAATGAAAACTAATAAAAAGGTTCATACTGCTGTTGCTCATCTGAAGTTAATTTAATGTTTATGGTCCATGTCACAAACCTTACAGAATATGTGGGTTAACTGGAGTTCTTCCATGTTAACTAACTATTATTTATTCACTTCTTATTACGAATTATGAATTGAAATGTTCATAGTACTTGCCGAACCTTTTGAATCACGAATGGTTCTTGATGACTGCTTTATGTTGTAAACATATTATTATATTATGGTCAACCTCTTCTTATTCACATAATGGTGCCTGCAGTTGCGCACATTTGAAGAGGCATGGGAGCTTATTGTTTAGTCTCAAATTTTTTGATAAAAGAATGTATAAACTGTTCCCCTGTCATGCAATTATGGTTATAAATAACCCATCAGTCATCTATCATCAGTTCCTGTTTCTTCTTTTTTTTCCATCTAATTTTAGTCACACCCTATTCATTTATGATCTTCATATACTTTATGATATAAATCACCTTTTTAATTTGACAGTATTGCATGTGATGCCACTTGCTTGTAGTAATGTTTTTAGATTAGTGGAGATTAAGCATACCAGAAGTGAAGCAATATATAGAGTAGTCAAACGGTAGTCAGCAAAAGGATGCTTCCAATTATGAAATTGATATATTTTTTGATGTAGATTCACCTACTTATGCTGACAATATTGCATCATTATGCCACTTGTAGTGTCAAATTATATTTTAGATTAGCACATAGCAGACTTTAAGCATGGCAGAAGTTAGCTTAGTCGGTAGAACTACAAATCCCTATTCATATGACCTCTTCCCTGTTACTAGTGCTGTAGTGCATACCAATCCTGGCTGACAAAAAAGGAGTATACGAGTAATAAATCCTCTTGAAGTTCTTGCCACTACACCAAAACTCCGAAGTTGTGGCGAGGGGAGAATTATAGTTTTATACTCTAACATGCCCCCATAGGTTGAGAGCCCATTTTTATAGGCTGAAACTTGGACTCATAAAATGGTTCCTTTTTTTAAAAATCCACTTCAGAGATTCATGGCCAATAATATTTGAACCTCGGTTGCTCTGAGACTATTGTAAAATCCACTCCACTACACCAAAACTTTGAAGTTTTGGTAAGGGTTGAGGTTTATAGTTTTATAGGCTAACAGAGTTCCAGTTAGTACACCAAAACACTGAAGTTGTATTGAGGGTTTAGGGATTTAGTTTTATACACAGTATCCATTGAGTTGTTTCGATGCATTCGTTTTTAGTGTTTCAATTTTCCTTATTAGACCTAGTTGTGGTTGTCACTAAAATCTCTTGGGCTTAGAATTTTGAAAGTGGACTGTGATTTCTTACTATAGTTAGCATTATTATCATCTATCTTTCTTATAGATTCTGCATTAGTTGCTAGATTTTGTAGATATTAATTCAGTATCATGTCTAGTTCTCTTTTAAAAAGAAGAAAACCCCATAAGACCAATCTAATTTTTAGATTTTGTTCCTTCCCCTATTAGTATTTTCGGTAATGTACTTAGACGGTTTACTTCTTTGTTTGCAGGGTTATGTTTCATGTCAAATGAACTGGTAAGTAATTTCCTTTATCATGCATGAATATATATTCCTTTATATGTTTCAAGTGATTGACTTGGAGGATGTTTTGGAGGGCTTATTTTTTAAGCTATGGCGGCTTTTGGCAACTTTTTGGCTTTTTTGAGGAAAACTTCGTAAAACTTGTATGGGTAGAAAAGTCATTTGCTTAGTCAAACCTAGCTTATTTAGCTGAGCTTATAAGCTAGTTTATCCAAAGTTGAAGAACCCTAACTTTTTTAAATGGGACTTAACAGCTAGCTTATTGGAGATGTCACCAAACATGTAGGTATGAAAAAACTCTAGCTTAAAGAGTACTTTTACAAAAAAAAAAAAAGCTTCGTCGAACACCCTCTTCTTCAATATAGCACCTATGTGCTGCTCGGAAAACAAATTCCATCTGGTATCTGTTGATTCCTAATGTCTATTGTTGGTTGTTTGATGTGAGTTTTGCATACCTGATGACATGTTTTCTTTAATTTTTCCATCAAAGAAAGAATCAAAATGAAATTCTGATGTGTTGGGATTTAGCATCGACTGGACTTCTATGCTGCACTGGTTCTATACACTCCGTAATCGCAATATGTAGAACTACCATTATTGTCTTACTCTAGATCATTACCAACTTAATCAACAAGCACTTAATTCTTAATGTGTGTGAAATTCATATAACGGATTGCAAAGTGTGTTTGGAGGGTGGCTTTATCTGACTTTACCTTTTGTAGGTAGAAATTTCTAACATGATATAACCGTTTTTTCTGACACCGACTAGAAATTGACTCCTTCATGTAATTCCAGCCTAGATATGTAGTAAATCAAGTGACAGCAGGCGATTATGACTGTCCAAGAAAGGTGCTGAAGTTCTTAACTGATCTCCATGCTTCATTTAGGATGCTCAACCTTCGAAATGATTTTCTGCGCAAGAAGTTTGATGGTGAGTGACTATATATGCTTGAATATGTCATATATCATCTCGACACATTTAATTATTGTTCGTAGTATCTGTTGACCTGTAAAGAGTAGACTTTGTCACCATGTTGTTTTTGTGTGTTAGGCATGAAGTATGACTTGCGAAGAGTTGAAGAAGTCTATTATGATGTTAAGATCCGAGGCCTGACAGCTAAGGGCTCAGCAGAGGAGAGTGCCCCGTCTTAGTGGTATGTTATTTCCTTTTTCCATCAGCACTTCAGCAGATCATATTACAATGAACTTGCCTTTAGCACTGCTCTTTACAGGACTGAAGTGGTTGAGAGTTTTGATTGGGAATAGTCTGCTATAATGGGGTTAGAAACAAATCATCCTGGAGTTTTACATCTTTGAAGAATCCAGTAACAGTATCTATGTTCCGGGGAGTGATGTGTAATGTTTAAACTGTGCGGGAATTTTTAGTTCACTTGCTTTTCTCTGCGGTATCATGAGCATGTCCAGCGGAATATGAGTTCAGTAACATTGACGACGTTGTTTCCAGTGAAATATACATTCCTATAATGGTAAAGTAGTGCATGAGTTTTTGTTGTAACAACTGCATAGTATCATGAGCATGTTTGGAGACTTTAGTGTTTGGCAACCTCCTAAAATGAGGCCAGGACTGATCCTGGTCCCACTTTGGGGAGAATCTTGTTTCAGAAAAACTGACCCAGCGTTAGCTCAATTTTTCCGATGCCAAAAGGTCCCTAAAACTGGTTGTCTTGATCCCCTACCCCTGGACCGAAAAAAAAAAAAAGTTTACTAGAAACCTGGGTAAGGATCAATCCTGATCCAATTTGGGTTCGCTAAACTGACCATCAAGTAGTCAAAGTGGTCTCCTGAGAGGTCAAGATCTATTGTTCTTGAGTGAATGAATGAATATTCCTGAACTCTTTGGCATTGCCAGCTGCGACCGTCCACTGTGAGTATGAGGCCGGTCTGTTTATTCTTTATGTACGATTAGGTACGGCACGACTCTGGCACGGTATCGTGTTCTTGTTGTGCTGTTTGTGAAAGTGTTAAGCTGATATAGAAATCTGAAGGAAATTCAAGACAAAATTCCAACTTGGAATCTTATTGGATACTGAAATAATCAGTCAGAGCTTGTTGCTGTCACAGCCTTCGCCTAAGATACTGAAATAATCAGTCAGCAATTTTCAAGCAAGCATGAACTTGCAGTGGATAAGTTACTTGATCGGTGTTATCAGCTAGATTGTTGATTTTACCTTTCCTTTCACTGCAATCCTTGATCCAGTACGGATAAAGTGATACCTCACCTCGATGTCTTTTGTTTTACAATAAAATAGTTGATCTTTGGCCAAACATAATACCACTCCAACTATATCATAGCATATCATAATTTGGTCTTGATGCAGCCCAAGTGTTCGCAACGAAACGGAATTATACTGCGGATCGTCAAGAGAGAACGAAAATGACCGAAAAAAAAAGAGATTTAATGAGGTTTGGCAATCAAAGAAATTACCTACATCCTTGGAGTATATATAACCATGTCAGGGTTTCACGTCAAAAACCGACAAGGATCGCGTCCAATGTCTCTAGATTCGACTGTTCTGTTGAAGTTGCATCCAAGCCCTTACTTCAACGACATTCATAGAACTCAACAAGTATTCTGGCTAGAATTGGTAACCCAAAAGCTTTCCTGAAACAGCCTTGAGAGAAAAACAAATTCGAATAGGATTGACATCTCAGACATCTATCTGAATTGTCGGAGAAAACAACTCTAGGATTATTTTAGAGGCTTCTCAGGATGCCTCTCTATTAGATATCTCCTACTAAGGAAATCGAGTCAAAAACCCGCTTGGATTGAATCCTTCAAACTCTGCATATATAATTTGTCAGGCTTGTTGCTGTCCTCAGCTTCCACCTGAGGCTAAGTTCTCGCTTCCAATGCTCAGCAAATTTCAAACAAGCATAAACTAGGAAGTAGTTTACTTCCTAGGTTAACATATCAATTGGATTCTCAGTTTTTACCTTTCTTCACCACGGTCCTTTTCCGGTATGGATGAAGTTTTATTTTACATCGATGTCGTTTGTTTTCTCATGAAAAAGTCGATCTTCTGCCGAACATATAGCACTCCGACAAAATAATTGATCATCCAGGCAAACCACTTCCCTAAACAGAAAAATGTTAAGTCTCTGCTCCGAGTCAAGAATTATACAGCTCTTCGCAGGCTGAGAAAATTGAAGCCACAATATCCTAAATTTGGCCTTAATATAGGCCAAGTGTCACAAACGCAATGGAATAATACCACAGAACAGTGAAAGAAAGAGCAGAACAAAAGAGCAACACCACATAAACACAGAGATTTAACGAGTTTCGGTAATTAATGTGATGACCTATGTTCTTGGAGTATAACTAGATTATTGTTCCACTTTAACAATCAACGAGGATTACAACCAAATTTTCAAACCCTAATATCATATCATTCTTATCGTTTCTATTTCTCAATTTGGATTGCATACAATAGGTAGAAAGAGTGAGATAAGTGAGATGCACATTCTTATGATGGAGTTTCTGCTTAATTAATGGTTGATATTACAAGGTCACCCATACCCAACCAACACGAAGGTCAACCTATGTATTCTTCATGTAACTCATCTTCTACAACCAACATGAAGATCACGAACTAATCTTTTTAAACGATGCCTTTCTTAATTTTCTGCTTATGTCAATGCCAAAAGTTCTTCCCCCACGTTGGATAAGGTGATTGATGACTGTGATATAGCCGATAGCATGCGTAACCTGCAAAGTGAAAATGTAGTCAACAGTGATCTTCTCTCATCCTGATCTTCGACGGAGTTTGAATATCCTGACACATCTAGACCTGTAATAAGATCAACATCTTTATTTACCCTTTGAATTTGCCGGCATGGATTTTTCAGGTCGGTCTTACCTGTCCATTAGTGGTTGCGATTCCGCAAATCTATATGATTAACATTCTGATCTAGATTATCTTGTCGTAGCCCCTTAGCGGGTCAATTTCTTCCGAGGTCAAGTGGCTCTTTCAAGGTCTTGTGACCTGATGGATTATCCCAAGCTTTCGGGTTATCTGAAAATGCACATCCGTGTCATTAAGGTTCTACTACGAGAGTTTGAGATTCTATCTAAATTCAGTTGTTTGAGTAGTCCCGACCCCAAGCTATAATATTACTCAAACTCCAACAATTTCTATTGTAGAAAGAAAGGACAGCTACGTCACATAATCGATAATTGCCAAAAGTACTTACCATTCATCAAGAAACTACAAATACTTGGCACTCTAATTGGCAAAACAAAACACACATATTATATATGTTGCCTGTAATATTTTGAATTAGTCAGCTACTGCTTATTTATACTTCATATACTTGAACATAGAGAACCAAATCAAGAAGCAAAAAAAGAAATATTAGAGATGACTCCTTCGAGTACAATAAGGATGATTGTCTTCATGTTCATTGCTGCAATGGCACTTGCAGTACTGAGCTCAGATGCACAAGCTGATACTGTAATTCCAAAATATGCCTGCAGTGAAGAATATTACTTCTATGGTTCCCCTGGTTGTCACAACGTTGAAGAAATGCTCTCAACCCTATAACCCCTAGCAGCAGCCTCCCCTGATCAGTTATAAAGTGAACAATCCTGACCTCTTTGGCGTTGCGCAATGCGATCATCGATTCTCTCCAGAAAATTGCAATATTTGCATTGCATATGACGTACTACATGAGGCGGAACAGCCCTAATAGAACTGGAGCACAAGGGTTCGCTGGGGATAATCTCTAAAGGATTAGGTACAAAACTTATGAGAATCTGTTCTAAGATAATGAAGATAGCATGTTTGTGTTCATGCTTGTGATGTTATCATGTTCTTGTTGTTGTGACCATGTTAAGCTTAGGTTCTTGTTTCCTGACTAAAGTTTGTTTACTTTCTACCTAGTTTGTTTACTTTCTATCTTTACAGTGTTATGTTCTGAATAGTGCATCAGCTTTTGAGATGGCTAAATTTGTTTGAGGAATCTTGTTATGTTTATATGTTACAAACAAACTGATGACAACTGTGAAAAATGGTTCTAACTATAAATCTATACTCATTGGCTTATCAGATGCCTTTCTATAGTTGAACACAATGCTTATAGTAAATAAACATTAATCGTCATCTGTTAATTGTAATTGGTTAATAACAATACTCTTTAGGAATTTCCCTCTGTAATTTGGAAAACCCTAGCGAGTTTATTAGCTCTCTCTAGGATGTTATTTATAGTGTTTAAGGAAACAAAGAGGTTTAGCCCTAACCAATGTGGGACTAAACAATAGTAAACATCTACTTTCTCAACACTCCGCCTCAAACTGAGCATACATATTGTTAGGGGTGTCCAAAAAGCCCGTCGGCCCGGCCCCGGCCCGGAAACCCGGGCCAAGTCCGGGCTCCGGGCCGGGCCCGGGCCGGGCCCAGTAAGTATACTTTCTCTTATATAAGTATATATAAGAATACTCTCTCTTATATATGTATAATGTATGTATGTGTGTATATATATACTCCCTCTCTTAATATATATGTATATATAAGTATACTCTATCTTATATATGTATACTCTCTCTTATATAAGTATATATAAGTATACACTCTCTTATATATGTATAATATATGTGTGTATATATATACTAATATACTCTCTCTCTTAGTATATATGTATATATAAGTATACTATCTCTTATATATGTATACTCCCTCTTATATAAGTATATCTCTCTCTTAGTATATAAGTATAGTATATTACAACGGCTACTTCTTCCCTATTGGCCCAACGGGCAACGACTACTTATGCGATTCTCTCTCTCTCAAGTTATAACTTATAAATATATACAATATATTTACATGTAATATATGTATATATAAAATATAGTTACATAATAATTTGTAAGTATATACTAATACATAATTATATAAAATATAATAATATTAAACTAATTTTTAGCATTTTTTTATCAAAAAAAAGAAAAGAAATTTAAAAAAACCTAGTTGGGATGTACTTATCTATTGTGATGCGATGAATTCCAAAATAAATTTATACTTGTAATTTGTAAATAATTTATTAACTATAAATAAAGAATTTATTTTAATAATTTTTTATTTGTAATTTATGTCATTTTAAGTGATTAATAAAATTATTATTTTTTATTAATTTTTTTTTGTATAATTTAAAATTTAAATAAAATTTAAAAAATTTGATAAAAAAAATTAAAAAAAATAAACCGGGCCAGCCCGGGCCCGGGGTACGGGCCCGGAACCCTGCCCGGTCGGGCCCGGGTCCGGGCTTGGACCCGGCCCGGGGTAACCGGGTCCGGGCTCCGATTTTTCCCGGCCCGGGCCCGTATGGACAAGTCTACATATCGTACATGCCTAGCTTGTTACAAATAAAATTCACTCGTGTTCTCTCAAGAGGTTTAGTGAGAATATCCGCGAGTTGATGGTTTGATTGTATGCGATTGGCTCTAATGATTCTCTTCTCCATCTTCTCACAAATCAAGTGGCAATCAATATCAATGTGTTTTGG